CGGAAGCATCCGCAACATCAGTAGGCGGCATTTTTCAATTGTGTTAAAAGAAATTTAATATGAAACTCATGCTGTCTATCGATTTTTAATTTTGATTTGCTACAGCCCCATGAGTCTTTGTTGTGGTTCTTCTGCCGTGGCGAACATTTTTGATACTCCCGTGGGAAAAAAGGAATCGAAAGGCTAAAATGGTTTATCATTTCATTTTTGTATATTTTTGCGGTATTGGTTTAAAAGGCTGAATGGCTTTGGGACGTTCTGTTTTCAAAAGTTGTTCTCAACTGACCTACCTGTTTAGTGTTTTACCCAAATAAATATATTTTTTAAGTTGTTAAAGTCGTGTAAAAGATCTTCAAACTGCCAATATATTGGGATAATGATTTATTGATTTTATTATAACATTACATGTATGTGATTCATTTGCTCTTTCAAAAATTAAACCGTTAAAACAGCTTTTATACTCTGTGTTTCGACTAACAAAAACTTATATTCTTTAACTCTAGATAGGATAGTTTTAAAAAGCAAATATTTTTCATTTTCTAAAAATGCTTTAAATGCTAATAATATAAATTGGCTTGGAGCAGCCCCAATAAATTTTCGATATAAATACATATTTATGTAGATCATATAATATATTCGTTGATTTCCTGCCAACTCATTTTGTTGTTTGCCTGTATATATCCACTATATATTAATGTGGGCGGAGCCTCAGCTGACACATTTCGGGTGATGGATGTGCGGCAATAATTTCTGCTATTTATGCAAACGTAGCTTGTTGCTATCAATGGACGGTCCTAAGTTGGCCAGTTTTCCCGGGATGTTTGCCTTTTTATGCGGGTCAACGTTTAACCTTTACCTTGGCGGCAGACATACATCAAAATGCGCAGATCAAATGCTGACTTTCTGGGGTCTGGAAATCGGCAACACGTGTGTTGCCTCCAACCCGATGCGACATCTACCGGGACATGGAGATATATATTTTGTATAGGTAGGAATGTGGCAGCTCTCCACTTATGCAAATTGAAATGCAAATAAGCCATGCCGACTGTATAGGCGTTTTATGTTCAAATCTCCCGAAAGTCGGCTGCCTTTTGTGTTTTGCATTTCGCATTTCGTATTTGTGTGTTTTGTATTTTGTTATGGTACGCTTTATTGAATTCGTTTAAAAAACAATTTATCTTTTTGGTTGCCACTGCTGGCGTTGTGTTGGGAAAGGCCTTTTCCTGTGTTTTTCCTTTTCATGTCCTACAGCAGCGAAAACCTTGGAAAAAATCGGCCAGAGTTGCAGCGCCTTTTGTCTAACATCCCAATTAGCCTTTTGTTCCCATGTCAATGCAAAACAGGCAAACCCTTCTTTTTCACTATTTTTACCATTCATTTCGAGTGCAAGCTGTGAGCATAAAAAATTGTAAGGATTTTTGCTCCTGTCGGTCACGCCTTTTAAGGATCACAATTGCCTTTTGTGCACCGCCTCCTGTCAATGACTAAATGTATGGCTGTAAAGAATAAAAAAGGGCGGAAAGGGAGAAATCTGATGGCCTTTTAACAACTAGAACTCGAGTTGAAAAACAGGGAATTTTCCTTCGCTTTTGAGTGGAGGATATGGCATAATGGGCAGTTCGGAAGGATTTCTTTCTGGAGAGGCGCTTTAACTGAGACATATCACTTTAAGACTTGCCAATGTCTAGTGATTTTAGGACTGTACAATATTGGCTTTGTAAATTGAGCTAGAGTTATTTGAAAAACCTACATACCTCCGTTATATTTTTATTGGCTGAATCAAAAAATTATGATGGGCTTACTGATTTTCCTACGTAAAATTATTGCTTTAAAAGACTCACATCCAAATAGTTGTTCTTTTTCATAGATGTATTTTTGTTTCTAAGATATTGAGGAATTTCGTTGATTCCGCTGAATGGAAAACCCATCACTTTGTTATGGTGTCCCTCCATTTCTCACCCAAATTTTGTATGTTTGTACACCCCTCCCCTATTTTGAACCATTAGTCCAAGTCCCAGGGCCACATAAATCAAGCAAATGGTTTAACGGGCGATTAGCAAAATTGTGTTATAATAATTCTTATTTTATTTTCGCCTGCTCTGTTCCCTTTTGCTGCTTACACGTTTTTGGCATTTGCATGTTTCTGTGGCTGCTGCTACTTAGCGGAAACATGCAGTACATGTATCTGCTGGATCATTTATTTATTATGCTTGTCGTCTGGTGGTCTCCGCCTCATTGCCCCGCCCCTGCCACGCCCACGCCCCCTTAACCTTGCGATGGGCTCTTTGTCTGGCATGTATTTTGAATGGCCTGTTGAAATTTTCCAAGCGATTTGCAGCATACGCCGCATTGAATGTTTTCCCCACTCTCTCAATCTCTTATTATTACTTTTGTTGTGTTTCGACGATTTTTTGTTGTTGTTTATTCACGCTCAAAATGCTGTGGAAAATGATTATTATGATTAATAAATAATATGCCGGCAGTTCTGTGAGCAGTATTCAACGCATTTTATTCAAACAGTTCAAAAGTTTCCAACACTCTCTCTCCCTTCTTGTTTTTCGATTTCGCAGGGAGTTCTGCAACTCAAGAGTTCGAAATTAAGTATACGCAATGTGTTACCAGTGCTTGGGAGCAATGGGCAGAAGTTGAGAAATTCTAGGGGTAGAATTTCAGGTACTTCAATTTAAATTTTTTTTATTCACTACTTATAAATACTAATTTTAAGTTTGTTAGAATTAGTTAATTTTTACTTTCTTATAGCTAGGTTACATCGAAACTATTGAACATACATACATAGGTGAATCCAAGAACTATATATAGCTTTTAATTTATTTAAATGATTTTTATTTTTCAATTTTATTAAATAAGCAATTTTCTAATTTTCGTCAAGAAAGCTTTCTATTTATGTTTGATATCAAAACATGTGTGTGCTAATATTTTCATAAACAACCATAATACGTTTCTAGGAATGGTACTCTAAGAATTTATTTAAACTCTTGATTATATGATTATAAAGCAGCCCGCAATTAAAATATCCAGATGCCTAAAAATAGAGGATCCCCGAGGATCCGCGCATGGTACGAAATATATACATTTAAGATAGCATGTGGTCACAAAGTGCTCTTTCAAGATCGGCGAATATATTTAGAATCAGTTCATCCGCAACATTCGCCCTCTACAGTTCTACGATCGCAAAATGCTTAATCTCAGAAATATTTTCTACGCCTTTGTTTTCTGCAATCTATACGAAAATGTCCGACCAAATGTGAAATTATCTCAACCAGAAACAAGGTGTGTTCTTACAGATGCCCCTAATCAATGTGGTGAATTTTGCCTTGCCGCTCAGAGGCCACTCTTCGATCACAATCAAAATGTTCAGAAGCAGTTGAATTTACTTGCTGATTTATTAAGGGAAAATAAGGCAAATATGCCAAATGTGAAGTTATCTCAACCAAAAAAAACTTGCGTTCTTACAGATGCCCCTAATCAATGTGGTGCATTTTGCCTTGCCGCTCAGAGGCCACTCTTCGATCACAATCAAAATGTTCAGAAGCAGTTGAATTTACTTGCTGATTTATTAAGGGAAAATAAGGCAAACATGGATAGAATTGAAAATGAAACAAAAGCCTCTCTGTCAAATCTGGAAACCACTCAAAGAGAAACGTTGGCGATACTAAGCTCTTTAAAAAAAGGAAAAGAAGTGGAACCGAACAGCATACAGGCACCGATGAGCATTCCGCCAGGTTTTCAGAAGATTGGAACAAGATACTTTTTCATTAGTGACACTAGAATGACTTGGGATAAAGCCGAACTATTCTGTCGCGAAAAGGGGGGATATTTAGCAGCCTTCCAAAATAAAGAGGAGGCGGATGCCATTCAACCCAAGTTGCGTAAGAATTTTTATTACTGGCTGGGCATCAACGATAAGGAAAAACGGGTCAATTTCGTTTCGGTGGTCTCCGGAAAACCAGCACCTTTTCGCAATGGGAATGTTGATGATCCCTTCAATCTTCGTGTAGTTGAGAACCGCTTGGCTATAATAAACGGCAGAATCGAGATGGTCCCGTGTACATTTTCTATGTTTCCCATTTGCCAATTGGACATCAAAGTTTAAATAAATAGTTTAATTCACTAAGGGTCAGTAATAAAATAAGGTTACAAGGAAATGCAATTTATTATAAAGGTACCTGTTTTAAATATATTTTGTTTTTACTTGTGGTATATGTCTGTTATTTTCTCAATGTATGTTTGGAAAACAAATTAATTCGGCTTACGTACTATAGTTAGTGTTTTTAAAAGGATTAACAATACAAACAGATATTTCAATTATGTTTAACATGTTCCAATAAAATATAAACTAAATAAATTAAAATTCTTGAAGATATGTATTTAGCTTCTGTTCTATGAAAGACTAATAAAATGTATTTGATAATTTCTGGATCATCAAGAAATTAAACGATTTTCCTTGTTCCTCATTAGCAAAGTTGCCAACATTTGCAATCAATTTCTATCTCCAGACACCGGCATCATTGCCTGCCATTGTATGGCAATAATTTTTGCGAACCAGCCCAGAATCGTGGGCCAACAGCTGCGCCAGATGGCTCAAAGGGACGAAAAGGATACACTGAGGGCCAAACGGGAAGCCATCAACTTGCTTGTAATGAATTATCGCCAGGCAGATGAACATTTAATGATGTACAACGGCATCGATGACGTTGTCGGTGGCAATTTTAATAAATTTAACAGTCGAACGACCGAGACTTGGGTGGCGCATCTTTCATCTTTTATCGCGAGGGAAAACAATCCTGCCCTCGCCGGCAATTAAATAAATGTCCTTAACCCTCGACGTCCCCGGCGGCAGCCTCAGCTCATTGACAGCCATCAGGCATCGGGCATCGGCAATCAGCCATCAGCCATCAGCGTGGAATTTATGAGGCCAGGACGGGACAGGACAGGCGAGGCCTGTGTCTGTGATTTATCGGCCCATTGCACAAACTTACCGATAATTCGAGTTGAGCTGCACATCGCCAATGGCCACGTTCTCGAACAATGTGGGACAGCAGGTCCATCGCGCCCAGTAGAAGGTGAAGTCGGTCGAGTCGTAATGCTCGGTGAAGCGGCACTTGAGCACCAGATCGACTCCCTCACGCGTGTCCAGCGAATCGTCGCCGGAGATCAGGCCAATCGAGAGCCAAAGGTGACCTGGAATGACACGGGAATGCAGACAAATTGGATTACACGGGGGAAAATAGCTAACAGATAAAAAACCGGCTTGAAATCACTTACTAGGCGCCTAAAGGTATGCAAAATTATTCGAATGTGGAATGAAAAAATACCTTAAGTGTTGCATACTTCTAGGCACCTTTTTAATGTCATACCTTTGCGAACTGAACACTTAAAATAATGTGTAGAATTTATTTTGCATTTGCCTTAAAATTAATATTATATAATAAAAATATTTCATATTTGTTTAAATATATATTACCCTGGTTTCTCTCAGTTTTTGCACCCTGCATTTATTTCCGGATAACTGGCAGCGGCAATTCAATTACCTTGTGCAAATTTTAGCCCGCGTACATTTAATTAAGAGAGAACGAGAACCCGTCGAAATCCAACACAAATTCATATAACAACATTGATATATCCTCGCTGCTAAACTGATTTGATTTATTTTTTCACTATTATTAACGCAACAGAGCAAAACCGAAAATCAATACCATCAGAGGAGCTGTGGTACATACATACAAGCACCAAAAATAAAAAATCAACAATGCAAAAAAAATGGTATTGTAGAAACCCGTGGAAATGGTAAATCTATACCACAAAAATGAATAATTCACATGCCATGCCAGCCATAGCACAATGACCGGGGAATGGAGGAACTGCATCCAAATTGGTTTGCGTTCCCGAAAAGAATTTCCACACAAATTGGGGATTATTTACCCATAAAGTTTGCTGGGAGTTCTCTATTTTATTCATTTGCAAGCAAATTCTTTATATTTTTGGTTATAAAAAAGATTAAACGACTAAACCTTTTAAAAGTAATTCATGTCTAAAACATTATTAATACTTACAGGGCTTTTAAAAAGTACTATACAAAGATATATAAGCAATTATGTCTCTAACAGATCTTAATTTCTTATTAAAACTTAACAATAGCTTTTCTCAGAAATCGTTAAAAAATACTTTTTAAATTCGCTTCCAGGACATTAAGCTTTATTATTTCAGAGTTTTTTATGATTTCCCGAAATTAAAGAAAAACTTTCAGAGAGCCAAATTAACCGGAAATAATCGAAATAAAATTTATTGCTCGCATGGAGTACCCAAAAAATATTGTGTGCTGCATACGAAGCCTTTTTTGCGGCCATTAAATTTAATTTTAGCATGAGAATTTTCGCGTTTTTCATCAGCTCAGAAGTATTTGCGCATAATTGCTGGTGAAAAATCTGCAAAATAAGTTTTCCGGAAACAATTCCAATCAAATTTCGCCAGCTGCATTTCCTTGTTCGTTTCTTTTTCATATATATTTTTAGTGTGCGAGGAAATGAAACTTTGAAGCTTTTACTTGTGGTCGTTTTACAGTTTTAGCAGCACCGGTCAAATAAAACTAAGCACGCAGTTTAGTTCGGTGAGTTTTTCCCTTTTTTTCGAGTGTGTATTCAGCTAAATGGAGCAAATGGTCGAGTGGACGCCATTGGGTCGAGTGCTGGCCGGAAAATGGGGGGGGGGGAGGAAAATCTGGGGGAGGATGGGCCGGTTGTTTGCACATGCAGCGCTTAGTTTTAATTTGTCTGCCTGAATTTTAGTTTTTTGTGTGCTCGTGCTTTTTATATTCTCCGCTTTCCTTGTTTTTCCACTCCGCTCAATTTTCATGTATTTTGTTGAAGCAAATCTGTTTTTTGTGCAATCTGCCCATCCATAGATGTATGTTTGTGGAAAATGTTCACCCATTTCACCCTGCATTGTTACGCTGGGTTTTTCCCATAAAGCCATATATTTAAGCGAAGCAACAGCTTTATTGTGTTGGGATTTTTGGTATATAAAACGAGTAGTAAAAAATACAAACAGCTCAATGCACTGCGGCTGCATTTTCGATTGCTTCCATCGCTCAAATGTATGCTACTTTTTTCCACCAGCTGCGTTTTCTTCCGCTTTTCGTTTTTTAGTTCGATCATGTAGAAACTTTGCTCCTCACTCCCCTGCTGTTATTGTAATTAACAGTTGGCAACACAAAAAAAGTTTCAAATATTCGCAAAAACAGGGCTTCTGGCATTTGTTTGCTTTAAGTTGGTATTTTTCACAAAATACCTTTCTGATATGTTTGCTTACGCTCGAAAGGGTATATTAAAATCACATTTTTTATGGAGAGGATTATGTAATTGTGATGAATCGGAGTTGAAGCCTCTTAGATTTTTTGTAAAGACGCACTGGAAAATATTATTTCAATTTAAATGCTGGTTGCATGAAAACATTGCATGGACACAATAAACATGCACTCTGGTTTTAAAACCTTTTTGTTAATATAACACTAAATATAGTTGCAAATTTTTCTGATACTCATAACATTCCGTTTCGAATGCAATGAATTCTCTAAAAGGGCATGCCAAAATATCAAACGTTATAAATGATTCAGATTCGAATTCTTCTCACTTAGATCCGCGAAATAGCGAATAAATCGCGAATCATGAGGTATTTTTCCAGCTTGTTGGCACAATTATCCCCGGCTTCTAATCAGTTGAATTTTCCAACAATTTTCAAATCAATTAGAGGGCCAAATCCCAATTCGATCAACGCAGGTAATTTGAAAATTCTGCAAAATCAACACAAAATCGGGAGTGAGCGAAAAAGCTGACTGGGATTCGGAATCATGTTTAACATTTGCTTTGGCTACCGATTTACATATTTCCATGCAAATAATTATGAACGAGAGCTGAGCTTGTCGCCCGAGGGATTTCAATTGCCATGACCACGCCCTCCGCCGCCCTTTGTGCATGCGAAAACATGAAATGCATATGCATATAGATTTCATTTGCTTTATATAAGTTGATTTCGAGCGAGAGGTGGGGAAAATTACCATGAGCAAGTCGAAAGAAAAACACTTTTTTGGCCAGCGCTCGGGGAAAAACTCACTATAAAATGTGTTGAAGTTTTTCCGGGGCTTTCCCTTCCTCGACCCCCTTTCTTTTTTAGCCTTAAGGCTGAAATGTATTTTGCAATTATTTAAACAAGCTTTTGCAATCTGATGGATTTTAAAATGTAAATTAACTTTGTTTGCATACGAAAGTTTTCACTCACAGCGGGAAAACTTATTCCCCTCATATGTGTGTGTATGTGTGTATTTTGTAATAATTAGCCATCATTAGAGTTTCGGTAAAGTTTTCCATCGTCTCACTTTTGCTACTGGCTTTATGAATTTTTCAATTGTTCGCTGGAGAACTGAGGACTGAAAACTTTATCTCCACTCAGTTCAGTTGAGTTCAGCTCGACTCGAAATGCTTAAACATTCATAAATGCAAGTGCACACTGCACTGAAAAAAAGGAGGCAATTTTATTGAAAACTAAGTCAGGTATAATCAGTTTTTTTTAAGTGTTAATTTTGTTGAAATAACTTGTTAAAAAATCTTTTTTTAAAAGGTTTTACTCTTCCATCGATATTTAAGTCTATATACGACATTTATCTACGTTCAATTCTGGAATTCATCTTTTATTTTCGAGGTTCATTAATTTCCAATCTACAGGTTTTTTAAGATACTTTTTCCTTGCGTGTAGGAAAAGGGGGAAAAATGAAGGCAGAGTTCGTTTGGGCCAAAAAGATGCCAAAGCAAAAGTCAAGTCTGGCCAAATGCAGCCCAAACAAACCCAAAGCAAACAACAAAAACTTTACACACACTCGTAAAAAAATAAAACTTTTTTCACTTTACTGTGTAGTGTTTTTTGTTCAGTTTTTTAGTTTTTGTGGCTGTGGTTTCTGTTTTTTTGCGTACGAAGAGTTGGACTTTGTTTGGGGTCGACGACGCGTCGTCTTCATAAACACAAATGCCATCAGAGTGCTAAGGAATGGGAATAAATGTGGTGTCTTTTCCATAAAACGAAGCTGAAATCCTCTAAAGTTGTACAATTATTTTCTGAAATATGTATGTATGTAATTAAAACATTATAAAATAAGTGTAAACTAACACTTCCAAATAGTTATTTATTTTTGAAATTCTACAATGTCAAGAAATTTATTGATCACTAAACTCTAAATTATAAGACCTAAATTTTATTGTGATATTTTTATCTTTCCCTCGATCTCTTGTATTCAGTTTTACTTTTTTGAAATCAAATAGGATTTTTCTTGAAGATTTTCCTCAAGTGCGTCACATTTAGTTGCAATTTGATGTACTCATGGCCTTAGGAGGGCATAATCAACCGAAGTGTGTTGCACTTTGGCTACAACTTCCCCTCCAGCAATTCGAGTATCCTGCACTTCCTTCTCACATCCCATCTTTCCATCCATTTTCCGACTTTCCCCCGAACATTTTCCACTGGCAGTAAACATCCAACACTTGTACATCATTTTCTGGCGGTGTCTGCTTGACTTGTTTGTAATTATTTATTTCGCATAAAGTGTGGCAGACTCTGGTGCGTAGACAAGAATTATGGCATTTCGGGCATTGTGTGTGATGTCTGGAGTTTTTAAAACAGATTTCATGCTACAACGCCGACAGGATGAAAAGCGGGAGGCGGTGCGGGAAAAGCTTTCTCCCAAGCAAAATGCAACTAATGTGGGAGTGTGTGTTACACTTAAAACAAGCTGTTTTCTTGGCTCGTTTACTTGTGGCTTTCCCTGGCTTGCGTTGTGTTCTGCTGTTGAGACAACCCCGCATTTTCCCTCCCCCTACAATTTTCCCCTGTCCAGTCTTGCTTTTCTTTCAGCTTAATGCGAATTTCTGCTCTTAACATCAGCCATTGTTGTTTTTCTGGTGTGTGTGTGTTTGGCATATAAATATAATATGTAGTCTCGCCTCCTGCCATTGTTGTTGTAAAATATATTACTTTTTAACCTCGGAGTGGAGTTTCTGGAAAAGCCCATCCTCCCCCTCTATTTTTACTCATAACAATTACAACAATAGCAATTGCTGCCTGAAAATCAACTATACGTATATGTGGCGATGTTCTTGGGTCAGTGGCGTAGCTTTGCACTTGAAGGGGGATTAACT